TGAACTGGCGCCGGAACCGGAACGGAAAGTAGAACACACAGTGAGTCAGACCAATCAACTGGATCCCGGTCTGCCGGGACATGCTGTAGATTATACTTATGTGTTTCTTTGCATTGCATGTGCATTGGTGCGCCTAGGACACCGTGTTTGCCGTATGTTATTCCTGAACGGTTTGCCGGAGGCTTGCTTTGAGAAGCGTGCCATAAGACTGACCGGTTGCGGGCTCTGCCACGACGGGAACACAAATCCCGGTTTTACCGGGGCACCCTTTTTGACCATTCGACCTAGTGCATATCGGAAACTGTAGTGACCATTCCAAGCTAGGACAGGTTGCTTACCAGATTATAGGTTGTTTGAAACCGCTGCGTGCATAGTGAAACCCTAGCTCCTGACAAAATAGGACAGGGAAACCCTACCCTAACATAAGGGTGTTTTGGCTCTCACTTGCTTGCTATGTGCTTTTAGAGTTGGCCTCTATAGGAATACGCATATCAGTTTGCAAGTTTGGGTATCAAGCCTACGGGCGTCAGTATCGGTATATGAGGATCAGTTATATCTGCGGGTATCAGATTCAGTTTTGGGGGAGTGATTTGGGAAACAGTGATCAGTGATCGAATACAGTTATTCAGTTATGTTCTGGCAAAATTGGGCTAAGACATTGCCTGTTTTCTCTTACAGGGGGGAAAGAAAGGGTTCATGAGATTCAATTCGGAGCAACCAGTATTTTTCTTCGCTAAGGTAAGGCAGAGAAAGGCCAGTTGAGGCTTACCTGTTCATCTGATCCGTTAGTCGCTAGCCGTATCACCTTTGTTCAGTTCAGCAGAATCGTGACGATACAGAATTCGGAAGAGATAGTGGTCATGACAATGGCTTTAAACCAGGAAATCACCATGCAGGGTGAGACCGATGCTGATTTGCAACACCCACCCAGGTCGCTTGCTGCACATCCAATTTGGGAACCCCAATTCTTTCAAACCCATGAGCCCACCACTTTTGAGCTGATGAGAATGATTGGTGATCTTCAGAGGTCTGTGGCTGATCTAGCCTTCGAAATGTTGGCTCCGCCGCAGGCCACATCGTATGCCGAAAACTTCATACCAGAAGAGCCCCTACTATTGGGGCAAATTGTCATTGAACTTAGTCAACCTGAAGCCATCCCAAGTTCCGGCAATGACAGGTCGACAACAATTGGGCTCCGCTTCGATATAGCAACCCAAACCTTCAACCAAGCTGAGGCTAGGGGTAAGGACAAGGTGGGGGCAGACACTGACCCCTATGAACAACTTTTGCAGGCGGTTGGGGCTTTGAAAGCCGGGGGATTGAACAGACAGCAAGTGCTCGCAGTCGCCACAAAGACTGTGGATGACACTTTCCCCACTCAGACCGAGGGCAGTTCAAGTCAAGGGGAAAATAGGGAGAAAGACCGCCATACCAGGACCATTCCCTCCAAACCTAATTCTGCACCTGGGAAACATCAGCAGACCAAGTCAGCGCCTATCGACCCCTTTCCTAGTACGTCCAGTAAAACCCCACAAACCTCAAAGTATTTACCCCGAGGTCGTAGGGTCTTCCATGCCCTCTATATGCCTTTGTCTAAGGCTCTTCAAATCCTTGCCGAAAAGGGGCATCTCAAACCCCTCGAGCCTCGGCCTCTCCCTAGTCGTCTTCCAGCTGATCATGACGCTACTCAATTCTGTGCGTACCATCAACAGACTGGTCATAGTACTGACAATTGCTTCCGTCTTCGCCACGAAGTACAGGATTTGATTGACAACGAGGTTATCCTCACACCAAGCTCAACAAAGTCTATCGTCACTGGGTCGGTGAACCTGGAGGATAATGAAATGTGATCAGGGGATGAACCACCTGCAGGTGGTGCCCATTTTACTTCAGATGTGGCGTGTGGCACGCACTATTTTGAGCATTTACGAATGCTGGTTTTTGTAGTTTCTGACTTGGGTGTTGAGTCGGTTCTGTGGTTTTGTTTTGAGTCTGTCTCTTTGTTTTGAGTCAGTCTTTTTGATTAAGGGTCTGTCTTGTTGTATTGAGTCAGTCCTGTTGTATAGGAGATGGGTGATTTCGGGAGTGTTATCTCGGATATCACTTGCTTGTTTTGTGTTTGTCTTTTCGCTTTCTTTTGAGTCTGTTTCTGCCATGGAGCTAGTTGTGCCAACAGATCTGAATGAAACAGCAGTAATTTTCACACTCTTGCGTTTGCTTCTGCCTTGCGCCAGTTGTGCCAGAAGTTTGAATGAAACGACAGTGCTTTTCACCTGCTTTTCTGCGCCTTTAAATCATTGCATTGACCTAAGCTTTTCAAAACTTTTTGAACACTATGATGAAAACGAAGAGGAAGGAATTCTTCGGGATTTGCAAAATTTGATCAAATTGAGAGAAAGAGAGGCGCGCTAAGCTCTTAATGAATGAGATCATGTTTGTTAACATGAGTACTGAGAAGGATCCTGGCTTGATCCAGATTGGTTCTACACTGTCTTCAGCGTGAGCGATTTGTCTCTTTCTTAAAAGTTTAAAAAAAAAAAAAAAAAATTTTGCACGGTCCTGCGAAGACCTGTGTGGAATCGCTCTTGAGATTGTGCAGCTTAGGATTGCTCTC